CAGTCAATTCGGCAGCCATTGCTATGATCCCTTGAAAATAGCACTATACAATTATATTTCGTCAATCAATCACCGAAAACAAAAATTAAATGCGAACAGCGATTCGTTTAGACAAAGTCGGCTTTCCTTGTGAAATTTTAAACTACACTTCCTTTTCCGCAGGAGCCCTGAAAAATGGCCGAAGTACTTTGCAATCGTTCAAAAATCGTTACGAGTGCTCGACAGTTGCTATTTCATAATGGAAAATGCTACACATAAGACTCGTTATTTGCATGGGGCTTCAAGATGCCTCAGGAGTCCGCTTCATGAAGCAGCTATCAGACAAATACGTAACCTTGAGGAAAGGATTTTTAAAAAGCAGAACCACAATCCTTCAGCACTCTGTAACACAATTTATGCTTTGAATGAATGAAATTAGTTATAAATACTGTACAGTACAGAGGACAATATATGAGTTAGCTGTTTTTGTTTTGATGGGTTTGTAAAAATAAGTAAAATTTTTGTGGCAATTAAGAAGCGTCAATCTTGGGAGTTGAGAATACTCTGTAACTCGCAACGTTTTGAAAAAGTGCATCAAAATGTAAGAAATGTTGGGGAAAAGAAGTGCCAGAAAGCCTGCACCTAGAGCAAAGAAAACTTGTCAAACTTGGACCAACCAGGTTTGAGTGTTCAATGTTGCAGTTTGGCACAAAGATTCACTCACTCTTCCTCCCAATATCATGAACAAAAAAATAACATTTTACATGAGGAATGAAGATTGAGAATACATTACCTGCAAAATACTTTGTTCCTCAGAATGTTTTCAGATTTTCCCGAATTTTTTTCTAAGACCTGAAAGAAAAAATAATTTAATTCATTCCAAGAATAAAATCAATAATAAAATAAAAATAGCACAAAGAGAAATGTTGAACAAGTAATCAACTCGTAATCAAGGCACTGTTTGCAAGTCATTGAGGAACAAAGCAATTTCGTCACAGGTCTGCAAAACAAATAATTTCTAATCACGTTGGATCACTTTTGCAGATCATGTCAAAATCGTCTTTAGCCCAAGCATTCTTCAAGTCATTTTGAGCCACTCCAGAACAATTTCCTCCCAGCAATCCCGCGTGAGCCATCCTTAAATTTTCTGTCATATTCCGCAACAGGGGACAAGGAGATGACAAGTGTTGACCAGCTGTAGCCAAATCACGGAACATTTCCTTAAAGAACCACAGAGATAAAATCAAATAAATCATTGCAAACAATGTCTATGATATATATTTCACTTGCAATAAACCTTGCTTATGATTTTGAAGACTTGATTTATAAGTGTGGTATGAACATCAACAGGCTTTCTTTTTATGTCCAGCAATATCAGTTGAGCATTACACTTATTGAAGGCTATCTTTTATTCAATTATGACATTCAGCAACATCAACTCATGCCAGAATAAGTATAATTTGAAAGGNAAAAAAAGTTTAGGTGCTCATAATACTCATTTCCTTAAAAAAAATCATTGACAAATTTAAACAAATAATTATTTTTAATGGAAATGATGGAATATTATATCACTTATGGTCATTTCAAAATTTCGATTTTGATGCTTTTTTGCTCAAAATTTTCCTAATTTTTAGTCACTAAACGTGGGGTGCGACTGTGCGAGTCATCCTCGGGTATAGAATTTTAGCCAAATTTCAGGACCAAAAAACCAGGTGCGCATCTTACTCGAGAAAATATGGGTAAAAAGGCCTTCAACTTACTTGATTTCGCCTTTTTCTCCAGAAAAAGCCATTGTAATCCTGTCGCCCTTCTCAATCCGCTTCACGGCCCTCACGACAAGCACATCCCCGAAGCACTCAGTGACCAGCGAATTCGGATCACAGGAATGTTCGAATCGTTTCAAGTCGGGATACAATCCTGCAGCGAGTCGACCGAGTCGGAAACGAGTCGCAAGCATACTCAGGTGTTGTTCTGCAGAGGAATCTTTCCTTCTACCTCGACGATGGCTTCGGGCATGTGCTTCTTTATTCGATGACTTGGGGACAAAAAGTGGAAATTCATCAGCGATTTTGATGCTGTTGGTCGTGGTTGAGGTTCGCGGGTTGCCGTCTCCGCCGCCAGATGTCACTCGCAGATTCCTGGAAGTCTCTTGACGCGTCGAAGATTTCGGTTTTGTCGCAGGCTGAATGTGAGAGTCATTCCGGTCGCAAGAAAGGGAAAAAAACACTTTTTCAAAACGGGAGAAACAGTAAACTGAAAATATGACGTCTTCCGGATTTCTTTGAACTTTACGTTCGAAAATTGGCAACTTTTTGGTTGATAATCTTTTGTCATTAACGTATTCTTACGCCTACTTGCCTCGACAAGAACAAGACGGAGTTCAAATTTGTACGTAACGAGGGTATTCCTTGTGCATTTCGAAACTTCTTGCTCACAATTTTTCGAACAGAGGAAATATAGGGTTTTTCCATCCTATTTACTCACCGTTCCGGTCTTGCACAAAACTTCATCGCATGTATTGGACTGATTGCTGGATGACGACACGCTCAATTTTCGTACCGATCTCGGATAATTAATTTCGTCATTAGCACTTGACCCATTCAAAAACTCTTCGACGCTGACGTTTTGGCTGAAGAATTTTTCGATGGCCTTCAGGGGCGGTGTCCGTGTTTCCGTCGTGAGCTGTTCGAAACCCGGCGGGATATCTGGGGTTTTTCGGCAACCGGAACTTAGAATCCCGTCTTCGCCGGACGCAGTCGATGTTTGGGCGCATGTTTCTACAACTCCTCTTCCTATACTCATGTTACTATGATTGGACGACGAATGCCCTGGTTTATTTTCAACTTCAGGATACGAATCCTTCACGGCAGCAATGCTTTTAAACCCCTCGGTTTCCCGGGAAAGGTCAGAATCGTGCACTAAGGAACTTTTTGAAGGAGTTTCTCGCTCGTTTCCGACTGCTGCTTTCCGATATGACTTCTTTTTTGCCTTCCCGGAACATTTTCCATCATCAGGAAGAAGAACGACATTCTTCCCGATCGGAAATTTGCTTTGAAAATGCGAGTCTCCCTCTGCTGGTTCCTCAAATTCTACACTCACTGTTTCAATAACGGGCGGAGACACGTTGGAATTCAATTGATCATTCGATGTTTCCTTCCCGGATCGTTCTTTCACGAGGGAAACTTCCCGAGACCGCACAAGAACCGACTTCTCTTGAATTTCAGAGTTCGCATCTTGAGATACGGATACTTCCGAATCCAAACCCTTGACTTTGCCAGCCAATTTTCCTGAGGGAATCATATATTATGAGGTTGTTCCATTTCCATTTCAACAGTTTCTTGTTTAAATACGATGCTAATTTTACCGTTAATTGTGTTATTAAGGTTTGCTTGCTGCTTATCGCCACATGAGTCTAACAATGTTTCAACTAAATTTAATCGCACACCTGGCAAATAATTACTAAATTAAAGTCGAACCATAATAACCTGACGTACGGCAATTGAAATATGACCTCTTGAAACGTCAAGATAAATTCAGTCGACGCGTACTGTAAAGGCAAATGAAATCGACGCGTCAGGCGTTAATTTTAACGTACAAAATTCTGTCGAGCTTGACCTAAGGACATGAGATTTTAGAAAATAAGACAGCTTTTATGGATTTTTAATTGAAGTGGAGGCAACTTTAGAAGAAAATAGAGTTGAAAATTACCTGAGGCATCCGCAGATTTCGTAGGAAATTCCGGCGCATCTTCGGGCAATGATTTCATCGCGGACACAACGGTCAATATCTCCTTCAGGTCTGATGTTTTTTCGGA